GGCTCTTTTTTTTTTTTTCCTGTTGGAGCCTTGTTGGTATATTGGGTCCAACACTTTGTGCCTTGCGAGATGCGTCCTAAACTAGACCACTGATCTCCACGATGCTGAAGCCCTCAGCCGCCATACCTGAAGTTCAATCCTGCAACACCCGACCTACGAAGGCGTGACGGTCCTAGTGATGCGAGAAAGTCTTCGGGTTTGGGGTACAGGTTTCATTGTCATCACCTCCGGCATCACCAGCATCCTCAGTATCATCCTCATCATCACTGGATCTTCGCCGGCCAGTTCGGCCCGAGATCCAGAACATGCGACCGGAGAGAGTTAACCCTAAACCCTAACCAACCCTAAACCCTAAACCCTAACCAACCCTAAGCCTCATGTGGATTGGTTGGTTTCAAGGTACAGCGCATTCTGGGCTTTAGAGATCTCTTCAGGTTTCCTCCGACCTCAACAGGCATTCCCACATAGGTACTTTGGGGTTGCTGGAGATACTCTATCGAGGTACTTGCGCTCTTGGGGCTAAATGATGCCCAAGGATGCGGACCCGTCCCGAAAGTAAGAGTTGTCCGAGTTCTGTGCGTGAAACAGTAGTTAGAAGTCTACCGCACACCGCCACTTTCAAACAAGGATCAAAAGCAACAGCACGATGCATACGTACATGTTCATGTGTCCGTGTACATGTATACAATGCATGTACATCCATCCGTACGTGATGCATGCATGCATACATACGCAGAAGCACATACAGACATGAGCACATGTACACACAGATACATGCATTTATGTACACACACAGAGACACAAGCACACGATGACTGCTACGACGATATGTATGTAGGTATGCATGTATGTATGTATGCATGCACGTATGTATGTATTCATATATGTACAGATGGATGGATGTTTGTATGTACACATGGAAGGATGAATGGATGGATGGATGGACGGACGGACGGATGGATGGATGGATGGATGGATAGATGGATGGATGTTTGTTTGTGTCTACGGTACTCGATGGTTCAGCTACAAGGAAGATTTAACATCTGTGTGTGTGTATATATATATATATACATATACACATACACACTGTATATATGCTCTGAGCATAACAGTCAGTACAACCGATTTACATGCCGACATGCATAGATTGCAGTGCAATACAGTGCCGGAGATACCTCTAGCGGTCTAGATGTCCCTTTCTACCTCCTACTGGCACCCCTCCTTCAGGACGGGTCATGACCGGCTTAGCCGCAGCCGTCGCCGGGTTTTGGGGCAGACCGAGAGTACTGAGGCAAGGATGCCTTTGGCGGGACTTTAGATAGGGTTTCCAGGCGGGCCTGGAAAGGGGTCTGTATGGTGATGTGTGCTTTTGTTCTACAAGGGTTTCATGTATAACCGGGGGATTTCTCAGACAGCCTTTACGGCTTGCAGCCGAGATTGCAAGGGTTTAAAGTTGAAAGTGAAACCCCTCAACAGCTAGTGGCACCTGGTCTATGTAAGGTGTTTGGTCCAGGTACCCTTATACTTCGCTGACTGGAGTTCATAATGGGGTTGGCGCAGTCGGCTCTACAGAGATTGCCTCTTCACGCTTGGATCTTCTAATTCTCTTAGGGGGTCTGCAATGACTAGTCGTTTTGGAGGGGAATGTTTTGGAGGGATTAGCAGGAGCGTTACTTGAATGGCTTGGAGTCAATTTGAATTTGGTCGTCAAGAATCAGAACCTGTGGATCATCGACCCTAGCATGCAAGGTTAAGTAGGGGTAAGGAAACACAACAATGAAACAGACAGGCAAACGTCTAGGCCCACATTAGTAGAACATGCGACTCGAAAGTATAGGAGAAGGAATCTGTCCATGTTGAACCCTTCCCTTTCTTCGTATCCCTAATATAGACCCTAAATAAAAAGTCTACTAAACCCCAAACCGGGTAAGGGGCGCAGCTTTACGAGCACGACCAGGGGAGAGGGAAGAGCAAAAGCCTCCGCTGCTGGCTCCTGAACCGCTATGCCTCAGCAGGCTCGGGGTTAGGTTTGGGTGTACAGGCTTAAGGGCCATGTCGATCGTGGTGCTGGATGGCGTCGTGGACAACGATCTGCGGCAGCTAATTCTGAGCAAGTTCGACCCGCTCGCCCCGGGTGCCGGGACAGCTCTGCCAGAGGTTTTCGTTCCGAAACTTCGTTGTTCAGTGTACCCGTTGACATGATTTTGAATTGGGGATTCCGCTGCAGAGATGACAATCTTAAAATCTGCGGCCTTGTCTCCCTAGAACTTAACCCGTTAAACCTTACACATCCTGCAAACCCCGAGCCCGTTACAAAGTGGGTTCCCCCCAGGAAAGAGCATTCTAGCATTCTATACCCTACACCCTAAACCCTAAACCCTATTATTCCCCCCAGGAAAGAGCTGGAGCAGTGGCTGCAGTCGGTGCTTCGCTGCTGCGCTGCGGGCCAAGATCCCTCCCCACTGAAGCTGCCAGGCTCCGGATTTTTGGGGATTCCTTTTGAAGGGCTTTGGGGTTCCTTTTAAGGGTGTTTTTTTTAAGGGACACCCTAAACCCTATAAACCCTAAACCGTGGTTCCTTTGAAGGCTTCTTTTAAAGAGATACTTTAAGGGGTACTGAAGCTGCCAGGCTCTGGGCTTTACGGTGCAGGCTTTAGGTTCTTGGGCTTCGCAGCTAAGGGCTTTAGGGTTTACCGGCTTGGCTCTTTGGGCTTGCGACTCCGGGTGTTTTTGCTGACTTAGTCTCCCTGTTGCAGCCTTGATTACAACGAAACTCGGTTGAATTATAGCGCGGTCCCAGACAGGGACGCCCTGAACCACAAAGGATCTCCTAAACCTGCCAGGCGCATTGGATGGACGATCAGAGTTGGTTCCGATGCCTGGTCGGGTGGCGGTGGGAAGCTCTCCCATGCACCAGGATACGGGCTTCGATGCGATGGGGAGGCCCGATCCAACACGTGTCGAGGGCCTGGTGGCCGTTCTTTATCTTGCAGGCTCCTTGCCCTTTGCTAGTATAGGGCTTGAAGGAATAGGCTACTTGTGTAGTTCCTAATCTTCTTTCCTTCCAGACTGACCAACAGCAAGGTGCTGGCACCTTGGTGATTGACACGGGTTCCCAGCGTCATTCTGTCGAAGTGAAACCATGCCGCCTTGTGGTGTGGCCGAACGACCAGTGCATCCATCGCCTGGATGCCTCCCCGGGAGAAGAGAGCCGCATCATGCTCGGACCTATGACACTCAGCTCCACTGGTTGGAAGCGCGCCGGTGATCAGTACGCATCGTGGCGGGGTGACCCCTGCTATTCTACCCCTGACTGCAAGTGCCGCGCCTGCGAAGCGAAAGCTTTAAGGGAAAGGGAAAGCCAGCAAAGGTCCCAGCAAAGCGGGCAAGCGACCGGAACGGATTCGTGGTGCGGTTTGGAAGCATGCACGGTGAGCTGATATGTGATAGCGAGTGTCACGTGCGAACATCTTGTTTGGACGGTATCACATGTACAGTCTGCGATACAGTCTGCAAGGCCTATAGATGAAGCATAATAACACGACAACAGTAATGGCAGAAATGATAAGAGCAATAGTCATAGTAATGGTATGAACCTTGAAAAAGAAGAATACTAATATGAATCTTCAAACAGAAGAATAATATGAACGTTTAAGCAGAAGAGTAATCAGGCCCCAGCACTCTAAAGCCTATGCCTTGCAACGCTGCGCGAACGGAGATGAAGCAAACACGAAGAGCGTGACCTGCTCCTGGGCCCCAGGGCCTACCTGTGGGGTCTAAGGTTTAGGGTTACTATAATAATAATACTAATAATAATAATGATACTAATAAAGGGTACTATAAGAAGAGTCAGAATAAGGGTACTAGACGGGTTTAGTATAAGGGGCACTATAAGTTTACCTTTAAGGGTTGCAAGTAGTTGCAATAAGGGTACGATAAGGGTTACTAGCAGGGCCGTTGTAAGGCTTACTATAAGGATACTACGAGGCTGGCTCGAAAGCCTACCTTCGTCTCCATTGGAGCTCCCTCGTTGATTGCTTTGGTTTCCTAACCTACCAAAACCTACAGCTTGGTAGGGTCCCTAAACATTCCATGCTGCGCAGAAGGTAGGTTTTGGTAATTCAGAACATTCCATTATAGAGCCTTAACCGTCCGACTAGTTATCCTCCCAAACAGGAACTACCCATAGGCTCCTTGGTAGTTCCTTTTCGGGATTACCTTATAGGATCCTAGATATGAACCACAAAGAGGAACTACTTAAGAGCCTATGGGTAAGCACTATAGCTCGCCCGCTCACAGTGCACCTGTAATTGATTTCCGAGGAAGAAATGTGCAGGATTTGGGGGACTCCAGAGTGTCAACCTCTTGGCTTGAAGGATCATGGGGTTTAGGGTTTGGGGTTGAGAGTTTACGGGTTTAGGGTTAAGGGTTTGGGGTGTAGAGCTTAGGGGTTTAGGGTTTGGGGCGTAACAAGTAGGGTTGGAGGTAAGGAATCTAAACACCTAGCAGCTAAAACCCCCACAGGAAGCACTTAGAATCGTGTGTCCTCCAAGTGCACCATGCGCTTGATAGAAGACGTAGAGCTTGGAGAGTAGAACATGCGACTGGCAAAGCAGGACAAGGAACCTAGCCATGTTGAAGCTGTCCTTTCCTTCGTATTCCTATGCCCTATAGACCCTGAACTCTTACTCTTGCCTCAGCAGGCTCGGCGTTCAGGCTTGAAACTGTAGAGCGTTTAGGGTGTACAGGCTTAAGGGCCATGTCGATCGTGGTGCTGGATGGCGTCGTGGACAACGATCTGCGGCAGCTAATTCTGAGCAAGTTCGACCCGCTCGCCCCGGGTGCCCGGACAGCCTTGCCGGATGTCCTTGTTCCGAAACTGGGTCATTCAATGGACACCAGCCCTATTCCCGTTACCACTGACCAATCCAAGCAAAGCTGGCCATGCTTCCCTAAACTATAACCGTAACCTCAATAGCCTGATAGCAACTCCTGTGGCAACCCTTATTGATTCATTCACAGTAACCCTTAAAGAACCCTAGGAATGCCAAACCCCATAAGCTTAGAAACCCCCCCAAACGGTATGCTATCCCTAAGCCTGGATGTCAGACCTACAACCCCCGAGCCCCAACCCGGAAGAAAGCTTTCTTCCCCCAAGTTGTGTTCGATCATATTAGATATCATAGCATGTCATAGCATACCGCAGCATATCAGACTGCATGTATTTTGTGTTTTTTATATATGAAGTGTCTTATAGCAGATGATAATTGGATCTTTCTTATACTATAGTACAGTATTTAAATGCAATAATGGACTCGACTTGACTAGACTAGACTACTCTGGACGAGACCATACTATACCATACCATACCATACCATACCATACTGTTACCATACCCTATGATAGCATTCTATACTATAAACCGTAAACCCTAAGCCCTAAAACCCTAAACCCTATATTCACCCGGAAACCCTAAACCCTAAACCCTATATTCCCCCAGGAAACCTCTGGAGCAGTGGCTCCAGTCCGTGCTTCGCAGCTGCGCTGGGGGCCATGATCCCTCAGCTGCGGAGCTGCCAGGTTCCGGATGTTTGGGATTCCGGTTTAGGGTTTAGGGCTTTTGAAGGGTTTTTCTCTAGAGGGTTTAGGGTGTATAGGGGTTCCTTTAACGGGGTCTTTAAAGGGATACCATAATATACTATAAGGGGTGCTATGAGGGTTCTGTGAGGATTTTAGGCCTCCTTTGAAGGAGTACTTCTAGGGCGTTGTATCAGAGTTCTATAAGGGTTTTAGTGGTTCGGGCCTGAAGGTTTGCTGTTTCAGAGCTCAGGCTTGAAGGGAAGGCTTATAGGTTATGGGCCCTAATGGGCTTTCGGGTTTAAGGTTGTCCTGTTAGGTTGTACTGGTTTAGGGTGTACCGGCTCAGGCTTGAGGGTTTGGGGTGCTGGGTTTGGGCATGTGTCTAAATTAGACGACGGTCCCAGAAAGGGACGCCCCTAACCACAAAGGATCTCCTAAACCTGCCAGGCGCATTGGATGGACGATCAGAGTTGGTTCCGATGCCTGGTCGGGTGGCGGTGGGAAGCTCTCCCATGCACCAGGATACGGGCTTCGATGCGATGGGGAGGCCCGATCCAACACGTGTCGAGGGCCTGGTGGCCGTTCTTTATCTTGCGGGCTCCTTGCTCTTTGCTAGTATAGGGCCTGAAGGAATAGGCTGCTTGTGTAGTGCCTAATCTTCTTTCCTGCCAGACTGACCAACAGCAAGGCGCTGGCACCTTGGTGATTGAAACGGGTTCCCAGCGTCATTCTGCCGAAGTGAAACCATGCCGCCTTGTGGTGTGGCCGAACGACCAGTGCATCCATCGCTTGGATGCCTCCCCGGGAGAAGAGAGCCGCATCATGCTCGGACCTATGACACTCAGCTCCACTGGTTGGAAGCGCGCCGGTGATCAGTACTCGGTCGCAGGGCGGGGTTCCCCTTGCTTTGCTCCAGATGAATGTCGATGCCCAGGTTGCCAAGAGTATAAAGAAAAGATGAAACTGGTGCAGGAAAGGCGGCTCCAGCAAAAGAGCCAGCAAAACGTAGCAGTCGAAGGGCAAGTGGCCCCAACGGATTCGTCCTTTTGTGTCCGGTCATGCGCTGTCAGTTGAGACCTACGAGGTCAGTTACATGTAAAGACTAGTTTTCTTGGACGGTACCACATGTACAGTCTGCGGTACAGTTTGCAAGACCTTGCAAGGCTGCGCGAACCAACATCAGCTAAACCCAGCATTTTGCAACGTTCAGGCTGTGAATTCTCGGGTCCCTAGGCCCTCAACTCTACGTAAGTTAGTAAGTAAGCCGTGAAATAGCTGGGTCCCTGTGTGCCTGCATGCTTCTCTCCCTTGGCCTCCTGAGGAATGAGGTTTAGCAGAGTTTGGGAATTTGGGACTCCAAAGTGTGACTTCCTTGTCTTGAAGTCGTATGTCAGGGATAAGGGAGTTAGTTCTTTTGAAAGTAGTAGTGTATAGCAATGGTCGCATACAATTACTAACAACAATGATAAGAACAGTATTATTTTGGGAATACTTACTACGGTTGATGGTATAAATCCTGCATGACCCATAATAATAAGGAATATACAATAATTTCCGCAGGATTTATACCATCAAGCGTATGGAAACTGCTTGAGGCATTCAGGGCCCAGAATCGCTTGCGCAGGACTGGCGCGACTTTCGCGCGCGGCTTGTGCAAGGCAGCGATGTCAGGCTTTTAAAAGAAACGCCGTTACGGCCAACATATGGGACTTTCCGAAAATAGGGGGTGCTTCAATTTTGGGGTCCTTATAAGAAGGGTCCTACTATTTAGGGTACTACATTAGGGTCCCTATTTTCGGAAACTCCCATATATATATATATATATCCTGTATAAGTGCTGGGAATCTTGGGGACTTGGGTCTGGGCGATTTGGCGCTCCGGGTTTAGGCAGACAGGGCGTACTGCTTGTCTTGGAAGTTGTGTAGATTTGCGCCTGAAGCTCCGACGAACTCTCAAGCCTGTATGCGTTTTTGTTGAGCCAGAGGTCGTAGGGCGATATCGCCTGACAGTTTGCTTGTCTTGTCTTGCCCCACGGCCGCAGTCTGTAGCCAGATTGGAAAGGCCCAAAGCCCTCAAATAACAAAGTCAATGAGCGAGGGCCCGTAGTTGGAGGGTAAAGCCGGCAGATCAAACAGTCACAGTATCCTGCAAGTTGCCTAGAAAGACCTTGGCAACCGGAAGTCATGTATACATCGGACCAGGCAATTCAGTGGACATTATTGATAATTATCCAATCCCCTCTATTACTCTATTACCATGTCAACACAGTTTGCACAGAAGGACCAAAGTGCTACGGTTGATGATATAAATCCTGCATCACCCATAATAAGGAATATACCATAATTCCCAGAGTTTAGGGTCCTTAGGGTCATGCAGGATTTATATCATCAACAGTAGAATTCCTCCGTGTCGAGCTGGGCTGGCTGCTAGCTTTGCTGGGCTTCTATGTCTCGTCCGGTCAATCATGATTCTACGGCAGAACCCTGGCGCTCCAGTTACCTAAATAATGGGTTAATGGGCTTCAGATTATATGGCTGATAACCTGCTATATAGGTAACTGGAGCCCTGGGGGAATTCTGCAGCTGTTTTTGGCGGGATATGAAGATACAGCGTGTGGTTAGCGAGCTGATCCAGAAAGCTCCAAGGCCACCAAACACTGAGAGAACCACTACCCATAGGCTCCTAAGTAGTTCCTTTTTGTGGTTCATATTTAGAATCCTATAAGGTAATCCCAAAAAGGAACTACTAAGGAGCCTATGGGTACAATGGCCATTCGACGAAGACCGATTGAAACCACGTGAAACCCCACGCAACTCTAAGCCCTTGTGGCCACTAAGATCTGTAAGCCTTACCAACGTCAGGTTCACAGAACGGCGAGCTGCCAAAGGACGGCTTGGGGTTCCGCTAAGGGCTTAGGATTCCTTCAAAGGTGTCTGCGGGGGGGCTTAGGGGATTAAGTGGGTTTAGGGTTTAGCGTCGGGTTCCTTGAAGCCTTGAAAGTATCTATAAGGCGTCGATCAGGGTTTGGGTTTATCGCATTTGGACTCTGAGCGTTTTCTTTTGTTGGTATTCTATACGTGTTCGGGTTTTGAAGCATCGTTCGATGATCGGTTTGCAAAGCTTCAGGAAGGTTAGGGTTAAAGGGTTGGTGGATCAGGCAACGGGTTACATAGGGGTGTTGCACGTAAGCAAACACGCACATGTAAGTGTACTTGTGATGTAAAACATAGCAGCTCCTTCGTCATTTGTGAGGTCTATACCCGTAGGCTCCTTAGTAGTTCCTTTTTGGGATTACCTTATAGGATCCTAAATATGAACCATAAAAAGGGAACTACTTAGGGGCCTATGGGTAGAGCTCGAAAGCGCGGAGACTGGACGCTTGCTTGGCGCCGGCACGAGGCGGAGCCCAGTTACCTAATATAGTGGGCGACTGTCCGAGCCTTACAATTAGGGTTTAGGGTTTGGGGTT